AGAAAGTTTTTCAAAGGGATTTATTATTGGTGCTGGTTTTCGATATGACGACAAATCAAAATTATAGAGATAGCATAAAGCTATTAAGGTTAACTTCAGATATTATTAGAAACTTATTTTTACCCAATTTTCAAATATTAAATGCCTTCTCCTTACCCACAGTGCCATCATTCAGTAGAACTGCAAGAAGACAAAGCAAGCAGACGTGCGTCAAAATCTACTGTTAATTTCCTGGAGAAAATGGAACAAGAAATGCGTGACAAGGCCATACCCTTCTCTCAAATCCCTACTACACTGGTTATCATAAATTAAGGAAAAATCACAAAAATCACGATTACTGAAAATGTTACATGTAGAATTTAATGAAACTTACCCACAATATACAACACAATAACACAGGTATCAATAACATAAAAAGAAATTACCAGACAAATACGGTAGTATAAAAATTAGCACATGTATAAAATGAACAAATCGAAGGTGTCAGTTTGCTGCAGGAAAAGTACCTTCAATATGGAATACGATCGCCTCTAGAAGCAATACAGCACATACAGCGATGTGTGATGCTTTTAATTATGCGGTCTATCAGTTCCATAGGAAGCGAGAGTCATTGCTCTTGCAAAGCAGTTACAAGCACGACAAGGGTTTAAGGGGGCGGATTGACAGCAGCTAGACGTCTCCCTAAAGCATCCCAAACGTGCTCGATAGGATTCAAGTCCGGGGATCGAGCTGGCCAGTCCATGCGCATAATTGTTTCCTGTTGAAGATAATCATCTACAATGCGAGCCCTGTGTGGTCTTGAGTTGTCGTCCTGTAACAGGAAATTATCACCTATTACCCCGGCATATGGGCACCAAGGATGTCATCTCTATAAATATGAGCATTCACGGCTCCCCTTGGAAAGACATGGAGGTCTGTGCGTCCACCCAGAGAGATGCCACCCCAAACACGGACACTGCCTCTTCCGTATGTATCTCTTTCACGGATGTTTAACGAATGATAACAGGTTCTAGGTTCTCTCCATATAAAATAACGCCTACCATCGCTATCTAGACTAAACGTGGACTCATCCGTAAAGAGAACTGCCCTCCATTGATCAGGCGTCCAGTGGACATGTTGTCGTGCCCACTGAAAACGATCTCTCTTATGGCGTGACGTGAGCGGCACACAAATGGCTGGTTGTCTCTCATACAGACCATCTCGTGAAGCCTTCTACGCGCAGTTGACGTTTACACGAACCTTCCTGTGGTTGCAGCAAGGGGGGATCTAAGAAGAGTCGGAGTAGCGGTTCTATTCCTGCGTGCACGTAATGTCAAATATCTGTCATCGGCGCTCGTCGTAGCAGTTGGCCGTCCTTAGCTGAACCTCCTAGATGCCGAATCTGTGGTTTGAAATTGCTCCAAAGGTCTATGAACCACAGAAGGACTCACATTTAGCCATCTGGCCACTTCTGTTTGATTTTGTCCTGCCTCTAGTCTCCCAATGGCTTTCCATCGCAGTTCTGCAGGCAAATGATGCCTGGAGGTCATTGTTACGAATTGGCTATCTCAGATTTCTGATGTCACTGTCACAGTGAAATATGTGGGCTTGCTCTCAAACATGTACTTTTATGCTCCTCCCACATGACGTATTCCGAAAGCAGCGCCACTAATTTGCATATCGCAATTTAACTCAGCTACTCTGACTTGGCAACATATTCAAATTTTACACGATTTGGTTTATTTTTGAGGGAGTTATGGCTATTTTTGTGATTTTTCCTTAATTTATGATAACCAGTGTAAATCTCCTGATGTATCATCCACGGATATTTGTAGTTTTGGACGTTTAAAAAACGAATTGTCCAAACGTCCACCTACAGCTCTCCCTAGATTTTGGAAAGCTGTTCGAGAGGAATGGGGTAATATATCTCTTCTGATACTAAAGAATATTTTATTATCTTTAAAATTACGGTGTAGAAAGATAGTGAAGAATAAGGGTTATGAAATGAAACATTTAAAATACAAAAGGTTTAGGTGAAATATTCTTGTAAATACCATGAAAGTCGTCTAAAAAATATTGTTACGAAATGTCAAGGCGGGGTGAGATGGCTTTCCCGCAAAGCAGTTTTAGGGTTGCCATAAAATGGCAAGGGAATACAGGGTTGCCACATTTGGAGATAAATCGCCCGTTTGGCGATTGGTGATATGCCATGGACGGATGGAGAACCCTTGGGAACAAATTCTTACCGGTTTAGCCCAGAATGTTCTCGAACACAAGCCGAAAGCTATATAAACCCTGCTGGTCCGCAGTCAGTTAGTGTGCCTCGTCGAGAGGGCGAGAGTGTGTGCCTCGCATAGAGTTAGTCAGTATCGAGTTGGTGTCTCGTCTGGCGAGTCAATCCCTGCGGAGTCGATCGAGTTGGCAGCCAGGCAGCGAGTGCCGAGTGGATCGTCGAGTTCACCGAAGGAGTCTTTTAGTGTGTTGCGGGTAGTGTATCGTCGAGAAAGCGTGTTGAGCTCCGGGAACGACTGAACCAAAGAGTCGGGAACCGTGCTCCGTGTGTCATCGACTGCATCGCGAGTTGTAGCGTGGAGAGTCTCGAGAGTACTTGGAGTTCCGAGAACGACCGAGCAGAGTCGGAAGCTGTACTCTGGTGCTTTGCTGTGAAGCTATCTCCACCGTTATTGCTTGACAGTGTGAAGGCTGTGTCGCTGATCGTGTCAGCGTGTCTATAGTAGTCCATCGACGACTGTAAAACGTGTTTCGGAGCTGTCCTGACAATACTGGCCAATAAAGAGTGTTTCGATACTTCATTAAGCAATATTGTCATTATTCACTCCAAATCCTTACGAACCCCGTACGAACGTGAAGGAAGAAAATAACGAAACAACTGGTGTCAGAAGCAAAAAACGTAACAATATGCTCTTGCACTCGGGCCTCAAAACGTACTTTTATTGGCACTTGAGGACAAAAAATCCCTTGCAGAAGCTGCTCAAAATGAATAAAAGAAAACAAAACTTTTCATAAGATTTAACCTTACCATAACTCATTGCCGATGGCCTAGTAGCGCCGAGCAGTAAAGTTGCTAAACACTGATAGTTCGGTTCAGGTTTCGAAGTCGGGAAACGGGCTGGCTGCATGGGCGTTTTCTTGTTTTTCCCCATGTGCAAGATGTATACCAGCCAGTTTCCCTTCGAAAATTCCCCACGAAGGCCTTCCTCTTCTTAGAGAGATAGCTCTCGAGTGCTTTGCCATAATTAAACAAACCAAATGCCGAAATCCTTATTGCCGTAGTTTTCAAAGTAGCATACTTAATGACTCCTTTAATGCGAAACAACTGTTCCTAGCGCTTTCTGACGATTTGGCATCATCTATTATAATATTATAATATTGATTTGGGGGAAATCATTTTTCATACTTTTGAATATAAATTATGCATTATTGATCATTGAAATTTTCTTTTACAATTGCAGATTTTGCAAATCTTTGGCTAATCCAGACCGCCCTTAATTCTGTTCCGGCTTTTTAGCCCAAATTGGACTATTACTCTAAATGGCTGGAAACGGCGTATCACTTTTAAAATGGTGCTACCAAAATAAGCTCCCGGTGTGGACTCTTGAGGCCACAGGGAATTGTTGCCATTAGATAGTGGAAGGCGAGGGACACATGCCTGTTTATCTCTGGTAGCCACCAGGCGTCCCCGTCTTCCGTCACCTACCTACCTACCTACCAAATATTATCGCTGTGTATTATGCTTAAAGAAATTAAGTAATTCAGAATCTATATACATGTATATGTATATATATTTCTCGCATTGTGAAAAAAGGACGTTACCTAGAGCCATCCAATTTGGAGTAACATTGTCTTTCACTCGAACATGTGCACCTGGAAGCCCGAATTTTGAGTTTAGAATTTCTTTTCTTATTTATTTCAATATTTTCTAAAACTTTAATGAATTTTTAATGAACGATATCAACGATTTGAAAACTGTTTTAAATATAACACTTTCTTCTCCAGCCCGCCAGACTGTTGCTATTCGAAAAAATACAAGATATTTATCTTTCAATTTTAATTAACAAATTCCGCTGAATGATAGCAGTTTGTTGCCGCTGCCGGAAATAAAATACCTTTATCTTTCACTTGTCTTCGTGTTGCCCTTGAGTAAAACCTAGGATACTTTGAAATTTAATATAGAATGTTTGTAGAGACAAACAAAGGGGGAGTATCCTTATATACTTCCCCTTTTAAAGAGCGACTTGGGTTTTTAGGGAACCCAGTCGGCAAATCCTAGGTGTGAAGAATCATGATCTACGACCCTTTTAGTTCGGGCGCCACTGTAGAGACATAGGTATTTTTTGAAAGCAGGAGATGTGAAAAATGAGCAACGCCTTTACCGGGAATCGAATCACGGACCTCCGGAATACGCGCCTAGCGTGCTGACCACTACACTACGGAGGTATGCTAAGAAGGCGGAAGAAATACCTTATATGTTACTGAGTTAGAAACTAAGCGATTTAAACAATAAACACAGTTCTTAATATACATTTTAATGGGATTGATTTAAATATACGTGTACGAAAGCCATGAGATGTCTAACTAGAAATATTCATTAGTTTTATGAAATTACACTAGCTAGACTCATTAAAATCATTATATAGTTTTTCTTTTCTCTGAGAAGTATTATAGGCAGCTGACCGCGCCAACGGCTAGCTTTTAAAGATGCCATGTAGCGAATATAAAAACATGTAAGACAAGTTATAACGCTCTATCCGGAAATCCCAAACATATGCCGTTTTTAAATATTTTGTTATTTCGCTACTGAATGGAATTTATTTGGCTAAGTGCGCAGAAAATTATACTTAATAAGAAAGCTATCACCACAGCAACATAAATGGGTTAGGAGAAGTGAGTGCACCTTAGCAGTCCCTTTTGGAAAACTTTTGAAATCTAAAACTTTTCAGAGAAGAATATGGATATATTATGAATTTACTAATCTTGTCAATTTTTCATTCCTTTTATAGGCGTTGCCCACATGGGAAGGAAGCAAAACGGGGACCATTGCTTTCCGCTTCCGTACCAATGAGGCGACGGGTCTACTCATGTACAACGGTGGACCGGGCGATGTGTTTGCCTTAGAGCTTCTGGATGGACACGTCTATTTAGTCCTGGGTCTCGGATCTGGGATAGCTAAGGTAAAGGCCTCAGGGAAAAGGTGTGATGACGGTCAGTGGCACACCGTCACCCTTCGTCGAACTGGGAAGACGGGCAGGATAGCAGTGGACGAAGCGGCATACGATTTCACTACCCCAGGCAAGAATGTTTTTTCCCTATTAACTACTATTCACAAAAAACGTGCGTTCTTTTTATGCGCCAGAAGTCTTCAGATAACTTTAGCCGGTAGAAAGAAGGTACTCGTGCATAGATCTAATATTTTGTGACTTCATTAATACAGCTGGTATCAGAAGAAGCCATGCCGTATGTTTTTGACGAAAACAATTCCGCAAATTCGACTTCCGATTACTCGGCATTCCGTATAACTCGAAGATTACCTTTTTCTAATCACTATTATCTGATAATTGAGCAGAATATTATCTTTAAAATAATATGCTGATGTTGGTAAGTAAACTTTTAATCATTTATAATGTCCATACTAGCCAAACAGTATCAAAAGCAGTAACAGCAGCCAAGAAGTATCATATTTTAATTATTGTATTACTATAATTACATTGTATATTCATGGTTATGAATGTGCACGCGTTTTCTTATTTTCTTTATACATTTCTTTGGTTGTCTAATTTTGTAATTTCGAAAATATGTTGTTGTTGCTTATTCTCCAAACGTCTGACGAAGTCAGAGAAGATCAAAAGAGCCCTTCACCGTAAGAAAGTCGAGAACAATAAAGGGGCTGGGAAATATGTCCTTTTTCTTGAGAAACCTAAGCAATCCAGGATGTATTCCAAGGAAGCCTGACGTTCGTGTCACTGAGTGCAGGAGTTGAAAACGGAATAGAGAGGGACTTACTTGATGTGACTGCTTGCTAGTCACGAAAGCGCCGTTCACGAGCCCTTGCCAAATGCAAAGGGTGCCAGTGATAGGTGAGGACTGCAACCACTCCACCTTATTTTGAGATCTTTTCAAGAGCAATAGCTTTAAGCCCGTAAGGCCAGAAGGGATAAAACGAGTACAACCCCCTTTGAAAACATAAATAACATATATAAACATAATCTTTCCCTTTGTGACACTATTTATTGGAAGCTGTATTACAAATTTGGAGACAGGCTTTTTTTTTTTTTTTTTTTTTTTTTTTAAATAAAAATTCCCATTTCCTTCATTTCTACGCTCAGTGCTAATGTGGCTGAAGAAAATCAGGTAGCTGCTGTTGACTACCACTCGCATTCCTCCTTTTTGTTGTTAGCCTGTAAGGTTTTATTGTATCTGGTAATCATCTTAATAAGTCCAAAATGCCTAACCGACGAAGAGCGACTTATCGCTATATCTGAAGCACACTATATCTGATCGCTATATCTGAAGTCGTGGAAATCACCTTTTTATTTAAACAGAATTTAGAATACAAACGCACTGTCTTGTGCTATAATATCAGCCATAGCTCGTTGGGAAGCAACTAAACAGAACAGTCAAATTTAAGTTAAACGTGGATGAGTAGTCAAAGACTACACAGTTATATATTACTGGAAGCTGAATCAGTAACGCTACCGGCGCGCAGAACCAAAGTGTTGGTAGCGATAGAATGCAAAGCCGAATAATTACAACTACCAGAGCTATTAGGAAACGAACACGTAACGTGTACGCGAAGTCAGAAACATGGTATGTCTCAAAACCCCAAAACTATCAGTTAATACTATCGATCTCAACTTGCATTCTAGTCAGAAAATAAAAATGAGAAGTTATAGTGAAAACTGTAATTTAAATTTTTTTTTTAAAATTCTGAAAGGTTTCAAATTTTAAAGATCGCCCAGGAAGGTCTGTTAACGTGTTTTACGCTTCCGTTGACTCGCAGTCTACTAGCCTGCTGTTATATTCATTCCTACTAACCTATTTCCTACTAATCACTTCTACTCACCCATTTCTTTTTTGTCTCTTTAGCTTATGAATCATTTTCTTCGCATTTAACATCTTAAACAATTCAACAGCAAAGTTACAAAAATTTTAAAAGCACACAGTAGTATACACTTAAAATTCCCCATGCAGCGTTCAGTGTTGGCATACATCTTTCTCTCTCTCTCTCTCTCTCTCTTTTTTTTTTCGGTCTTTTCTCAGTTCATCATTTCAGTGTTCAGTTTTTCCCCTAAGACGCCCTTTTTCTTTGTCTTTTTACGTTCTGTGTGTTACGTTTATTTAATTAGACATCACATTCTTCGCACTTACGTGACATAAACTTCAAATGAATGGCAAAATTACAAAATATTCAAAAACAGTATATCTTGAGGGTTCCCATTCCGAACAGTATTGCTACCGATCGCTTTCAAATAGGTTCATTTTGTTTATAAAATTTCATTTAAGTTTTAAAAAATATGAAATATAAATTTCTCAATTCAAAATTCGGGTGCACAATATAGCTGCTAACGTCGGATACCAATTCTACTTAGTCAGAGATAATGAAGCTGCTCTTTGTTGGCAGCTTACTACACTGGTGAAATAAATTAAATTTGCATATTTTATCGAATTACATGAAAAGAACTGAACTGAAAGAAACACCACTGCTTCTCGATCAAAAGGCAAATCTTGTATGGCAAATACGTACGCGTAGACGTGTGTGTAGGCCGATCCAGCAGAAAAACAGGCTTTATAAGCGCATGGAGGGTAATAATTGGGCAGCAATATAAATACACATCGGAACAGTAAAAATGAGTAACCACTAACGTTTACCAATCGCAAGTCCAGATATGCAGAGAGTTTGGATGTTGCAAAGATAAGATATTTAATGTTAAAAAGAAATAAACCAAATCAAAGGAAAGTTGTAGAAACATTAAAATTCTCAGTGTCAGCTGTTAACAAAGCAAAAATTGCTGATTTGAATCTTAAAAAATCTGATGTGTACACCACATGACTTCCTTGTACGGAATATTAAATTATAAGCATTTTTTCTTGCATTCCATTTAAACTTATTAGATTGAATTAAATCTACATCGCCAACAGCGCATAAATCACAATAGAATAAATTCATTCTTTAAAATTCACTCTAGTATTTGTTTACTATAGCGACACTCTGGCGCTAGATTCATTTAACAGTATTATATTTTGTTCATATTATAACTCATAATGCACAAAGTTTATATCATTGAAAGAAGAGAATTTATCTAATTGTTTCCACATGTTCTATTCAAATACTATAATAAAGCTAGAATGATGTATAAAAGAAATTAAGCAAATAAAACAAAAAAGAAACAGTTTTTCACAGACGATTGAGTATTTCTCATTCAATTAATTTAGTTCTCACTTCGCGAGAAGGCAAACATAAATAAAAACTCAAAATATCTATATTAAAAATTACAAAGTAAATTTTAAAAACTTATTTCCTGGAAAAAATTCCATAAAGGATTAAGCATGATTTAATTGGCAATAATAAATGAAGGCGTTATCTTTGTTGTTGTTTCGAAACTAAGTTTCTTTAGATTGGCAACAAATCCACTATTCTGCTGCTTCAAATGTAAACAATCAATGGCCGCCATAGAAAAAGGCTTAGCGGCACTTAAACAACTTTAAAATTTTTGATAATTCTAAAAATATTGCATGCAGATTTACTAAAGGCATAAAAACCTTAACCGGAAGATAAAAGCAACATTATTCAATCATTTTTAAAGCAAAAAATGTACAATTTACAAACATATAAGAGTAAAGAAACTGAGATTACTGAGCCGGGTAACAGAGTGGATATATATATAAATATATTTATATACGTTTGGTGCGGCCGATTGCAACCAAAATACGAGGGTGCCATCTACATGTTATAGCAGTCCTATATACAAAATTTCAACGTTCTGATGCTACTCGGTTTTGAGTTATACGAGATACGTTCGTACAGACGCCACGAAAAATTCTCTTCAGAATTATTTTTAAAGCAGTTTTATAATTTTTTTGGAGGAAACGAGTCTTTTATTCTGTCCTTACGTACAGATATCACGCAAAAACATCGTTAAATTGCATTCGATAGCGGTCAAAATGGATATTTTCGTTGAAATATACTGCCTGAAACTTTTTGCGTTTACAATACTTCCTTTTTACTTCGTACAAGGAAGTAAAAAAGGGAAAAAAGCATAATGTAGTCGGCTTTCTCCACGATTTATAACCGAACGCAGAACGCGCTGCAGAATTCTATATGAGAAGCATTTACCGGGATAAAATTGCAAAAATATTGTCGCGATAGATGACTCTCGGGTGCATTTAAATGACTGCAATAAAAAGAGATCCATTTATTACCATCAAAAGATCAGAAACACTCTTAAAATATGGTTGAAATAATCTAAAGTTCTTCAAAGGGATTTATGATTGCTGATTGTTTTTCATACAACAGGAAATTAAAAATGAAGAGATTTGGGAAAACTGTTAAGGTCAACTCCACATAGCTTTATTGTCTTAAAAATTACGATGTAGAAAGATAGCGAAAAATAAGGGTCACCAAAGACAGCATTTAAAACACAAAAATTTTAAATAAAATATTTCTGTTAATCCAACGAAAATCGTCTAAAATGTATACGGACAGCTTCTATATAGAACAGATGAGAGTCTGGAAGCTTCGGGAAAAGTCAATCATCGTGCCTCAAAAACCTGTTTTTCCGAATCCTCCAAAATGTCGCCTAGTGTGCGAAAAACCGTAAAATATCAGCATGTTGAAAGAAATAACTTTTCTCCAAGACCCGTCAATAACGTATTTGTCCGTATCTGTTCTTGAAATGTATATCTACTTGTGTTCTAGTGGAACGTTTTTAGTAATTGAAAGGTTTCTGGGCTGAGAATTGAAGGATTTCCAGTTTTATATAAGAAATAAGCATTAAATGCAAAATCATGGCGAAAAATTCGATTGAATGTAAAAGAAACCCCAAAATTACCATGCTAAAATCAACAAATAAAAAAATGACTAAGTAAAAACAATGTTGAATATTTCAACAATTCATGATAAAAACTGTACAATCAAAAATGATTTAAATACCTACGGAAATTTACTCTTGTTATATTTATTGGTATCAGGTTTCATTTAACTTTATTAAGTAATATTTCTGAGTTCTGAAGTGAAAGCCTACACTATATAACAAAATAACCTCATTTGTAAAATGTCAACATTGAAAATAAAT